GTTTAGCACATCCAGGCTTCAGGCTGCAGCACAACCAGGCTGCAGGTTGTATCCAGGAGGACAGGTAAAACTAACCACCCTCCCCACATCTGCTCCTTGTTCTTCAGTAACAGTTTGCCCAGGGTCAAAACTGGTTGGTTGTGTCTCTAAGGCAAATGAAATATTGGGAGTCTGCCTGCCAAAGACTGCACAGTTAATGGTATTGACCAATACAGATGCAAGATCCATACTTTGCAGCCCCTCATAATTTAGTGAAATCAGTATCTGCTTTCACTAGATCATCAAGGGGAACTTTTAGCAATGGATATTTCCAGTACCAAACTTCCAGAGTCTGCCATTTTCCTCTGAGTTGTTCAGAGTATTATAATGTGGCACAAAATGTATTTTCTTTCCTGCTCAAAAAAGGCCGAATGATTATTAGCAAAAATAAAATTTAAATGCACCTTTGGGCTGAGATCAATGACAGAAAATTTAATCTCTAAAGTCAAAAGTTTGAAGGATTGTTTTGGCTAAAATTGACTCTGTCAAATTTGTTTTGCAAAACTTCAGCCACTCTATGTGCCTGCAGACAAACTGGGTGATTTTTCCAGAAAACTAATTTTGTAAAATGTTTTAAATATTTTCAACAAATCAGTAGCTGGGGAAAATCTTCAAGAACCTCAATGCTTACGTCAAGTTAACTAGAGGAATCACTGTAACTCTAGGTATGCTCTGTGTTTCAGCCTTTTCCCAGACTGATGTGGATGCTGATTGCTCAGCTAAGTGTGTCCGAGCCCCCAACAAAAAGAAAAAGAGACTCTTTTTACCTATCTTGTGCACAACAGGCTCCAATTCCATCCAGATAGATCCACCTCTTGTGAGATCCTGAGTAGCTATTAGGCGCCAGTGCTCATCTGAAAGTGACTCAAAGTCCCTGGCTCCACCTAAGACCTGGCTCAGGGTCAGCGATTCATTTGTCCTCTTGGCCAGCAGATAGCATTCGATTTTTTCAGAAGTTTTCTCTTGTCTTGCAGTCTTCTGAATGCTGCTTATCTGAGACTACAGCACAAAGGGAAAAGACTGATTCCACAAAGCCTGGGTGAGATCCTAGGAGCTACTCTGCTAGAAAAGACCAACAACTTATCGGTTGTCTCAAGCATTGTGAACATTGCTGACATGATTGTGCTTAAACATGGGCAAGGCCACACTGGGTGCTTCAGTTGAGAACAGTGGACCTCAGACAGTAACTGGTACTCATGTTTATTATTTACTATCTGTATTCCAGTACTGCTGGAGGACCCACCATGATGGATGGATGCTGTACAGAGACAGCCTCTGTCCCAAACACCATAGTCTAAATATTCAAGAGAAACGAAGTGTGAGAGAAAAGTAGTAATGCTATCCCTCAGCTTGCCTTCGGTCACACATGGAATCTGCAGTACATCCAGGAACTGAACCCAGATCTCCCTAGTCCTCTGTATTAGCCTTAAGAATCTCCTTCCTCTTCATTAGGGAAAAGAGAGACACCCCCCCCCCCCCTAATACACCTAATAAGGAATAGATCTAGAGGGGGGGCTGCAGTG